AGCGAACACGAGGCTCATGCAAGGCCGTGCGGTGATGTGCGTCGCGCTTCTTTGGCGTCACAGCCCGCACGAGGCGCCCGTCGCGTGGCATGGGGTCATGGTCGGTGGCTGCGTCGCGGGGCCTTCGCCACGCCACGGTAGGTCAGTTCCATGGCATGAAGAGCACGGGCGTGGGGCGCTCATGGTGGTCCGGCGAGGGCGAGCACGGGAGCGAGAGGGGTCGGTGAGGCTCACCGTGGGGCTTAAGCGATAAGATAGCGGCGCAGCGGACGAAAAGCCGTGATGGGTCGAGGCAGCAGGAGAGCCGCGATCGCTGCTGTAGTTATGCGGGCGGTGTCCTCGTTCCAGCGACTCCGGTGGCGGGCGGCTCGGCGTGCTCCGATTCCTCTTCTTCTTCCTCTCTCCTTTCTTCTCTTCTCTCGGCTTGTAGTGGCGGGCGTGGCCACAAGGTGGCGGCGGCACGGAAGGCGCTAGGGCAACCGGGGCGGGGCTTTTATAGCGAGCTTGCTTGACCCACAACATGGACGAGCGGTGGAGATGGCCAGGTAGCGTGGAGGCTGTGATCGCGTCAAGGCTAGGGCTTCCGGTCACGACGCGATCGTGGTTGCGATGGCGAAATCGAATCCAGCGCTCTATGGTCGAGAAGGCGGGGATGGGGGGGGGGGCGGGAGGAGCATGGCATGGCCATGGCGGTGGCGGTGCGGCGGTGGTCATGCATTGTGCGTGACCTGTCCGGCAGCCGGTGCTGCGTGGCGCCCATCCACCGGCTTCAGCGATTGGTTGTGAGGCACGCAGACGGCGGATAGAGGCGGCGGCGTCGATTTTTCCCCACGGCACCCTTGCTCTGCTTTTGATCGCGAGAAAGGGGATCAAGGAGGGATGACACGGGGTCCCTTCGTCGGTAAACGAGGGAAAACGACGGCGGAAAAGGCGTGCGGGCTGGCTGCGTGGGCGTCGTGGTCGGGCCGGACACTGCGTGTGAGGCCCTGGCGCTAGCGAACCAGCCGAGGCCGGGAGGGCGAGCCGGGCCAGCGATTGGGGCCAGCGTGGGGAGTGCAGGCGAAATGGGCCTACTTGGTGATCGGCCCGACAAGGGAAGGAAGGTCTGAGATGGCTAGGCACATGGGGGTTTGTGTCTGTGAACGGTGAGCGGTAAGGGAGGGATGGGCCTACGGGTGGTAGAAGGCAATTTGGACTGACTTTCGGTTGCTTGGGCTGGTTTAGCTTTCTTATTTTCCTTTTCCCTTTTCTAATTCCTTATCTCTTTATCCCTCCATTATATTTACTTCCAACAGCTCCTAAATTGGTATCCATGTATTACCAACATGTACAGTTCCTAGTGGGGTCCTCTAGGGGTTATCTATGGGTTAGTGGGGTCCATGTCAAGGGTTGGCATCGATGGGCATTGATTGACAAGGAAGGTCGATTGACTTTATGAATTAGATCAAGAGATTCGAATGAGGTTCAAAAGCAAGAAGGTGAATTGAGAGAGATGAAAAGGCTTCTTAAGATATTCTAGAAGGGATCAAAAGGATTTGCTACGGACTTGTGCTCTCCAACACAAAACACTAAACCAAAAAAAGAACTCCGGCAAACTCCTACAAGTAATTCTATATGCATACAATAATTTATTTATAAATTGTTCTTAGTTTGACCTAGCATCTACATGCTTCACACATTGCAGAAATTTTTTTAAAAGTCCGTATTTTTTGCTTCTCCAAAAACCGGGTTGTTACACAAAGGCTCACCAAAGAGCACTAACCACGAGAGCTCTCAATAAGTTATCAATACCCTCCAACACATTCTCTTATTCAGAGTGAACGTTTGTGCAATGAGGACAACATTCATAGCTTTTAACTACAAAATCATCTTGGTGCGTCACCTTTTGTAATCTACACCATCAAATCTAGTATGTCGTTTCAATGTAGAAGCAAAACTAGTAACATAAAAGTTTCTTATTGTTTTTTATTGTTAAATTTTTAAATAGTTTCTGCAATAAATACACAAGGTAAATCATGCCATAGCTCATAACACAATGCAGTGTAACTAGGACACAACAGAGCGCACACTAATCATACCATTATCAAATGTAAATGATATAATATAATAGATGTAAACGGTACACAAAAGATGCATCAAATTACTTGGTGGAGGTATGTGACATGTATCTATGAAAGTATCGAGATTTCGGTGATCTTGGACTCTACAGAAACAGGAGGGGTTTGATCCCCTACTGGAATTTTATTAAAAATAGAGAACAAAGTTTGGCGCTATGACAATTCAAAAAGAGTATGATCTGGAAACCATTTGAAGTTGTATTCTTGATAGATTTGCTAGTACAAACAAGGTGTGCCTACCAATCTTTTGTTCGTGTTCCCCACATAGTACTCTCCCCATTTGAAAATAGTATAAAACAAAATTTGACTCGCCACAATCTTTGAAATTGAACTTTGGCCTACAAAACCATCATAGTATAAGATAGTACTACTTTTAAATATGGATACTTTTTTATGTAATTTTGTATACCAAGGTCGACATCTTGTAAGGCTATTTGTAAGTGTTTATATGACTTTCAAATGTTGAAATGCATGTGCGTCTTGTACTTGCCTTTGTTTTTATTTATTTGACGCTAATATAATTTACCATAGAGTTTTTTTAACGTTTGTTTCTCTACAAGACTATTTTGCATAGCTAAAAAATGCAAGGATTATTAATGTATGCTTGGCCACAAATTATATGATACAAGAATTTAAAGTATCTAGAAGAATTATAGAAAAAAACATTCATTCAAAATTCTTTGAAAAGGCAAAAAATTGGTCAAAGTAAATGAAAACCGTGGCATTAAGAAAATACAAGAATGGAGTAAAGTTTGAAGCAATATATATACTACAAACGCCCCGCGCATATATTTGCTTCCTAGTTACAAAGGGATATATATTGTATGTATGTTTGTTTGTTATATATTTATGGTTGGTGGGACTAGAGTTTGTCGTTAGGGTGGCATGCACAAGCTGTCGAAAAAAACACGGTTGTACGTGTAGAGTTTGTTACAGAATGGCCGGGCGGTTTAGCAGCAGAAGAAAGACAAGAGCAGTCATCATCAACAAATTAAAGAGAGAGAGAGAGGGGGGGGAGATCTATCTATAATAAGATCTACTACTGGATTAGGATTAGTACAAACAACCACCTCCTTCCTATTCGCTTGTACGTATGTAATGTAAGAGAAAAAACATGGGCTAAGAATCTAATCTAAAATGAAAAATGAAGGAAGAAAATAAGAGGGTGTTTGGGACTGCTCCACAAACTCTGTTCGACAAACTCCACCGTGGAGCAGCGCCACAAAAAACTGGAGTTTGTGGAGCACCTTTTTAGGTGCTCTCACAACTCCACCCTCTTTCCTCGAAACAGAGTACATAGAGCTGAAACCGTTTAGCTAAAAAACATAGAGCGGCTGAAAAACGTAGAACGGAGTAGTCCCAAACACCTCCTGAATAAAGGCGGAAAGAAAGGAAAAAAAAAGGGCAGGCGTGTCTGTTTCTCTTCCGCCGGCGGCCTCCTCATCGTCATCTGAATTCCTCATCATCCAGCCTATAGGAAGGAGTAGACGCGCGCGCGTGTGTGTATATATATGAGAAGGCACTATGTGCCACGAATTGACCACTAGACTTTTATATTATATATATATATACTATATAGTTTTCGATTATGAAATGTTCTGCTAAATATCACGCACTGTCTATGTCTATAGGTGCTGGGCCTGGGAGAGTCGAAGAAGGGAAGGGAAGGGGCCCGGCCCACCGGCTACGCCGACGCCCGCCCTCGTGTAGTTGGAAGTTGGAGACGTTCCGCCTCCGCCAGCACGCCTATGTTTGACAAGCAGACTCCGCTGATTGTTTGACAAGCATAAGAGATGTTGGATTGCTTATTAGGCACGAGTAACCTTAACCACGAGGATCTTAATAAAAAAACATTGAGTTGGCATAAGAGATGTTGGCTTGCTTAGGCACAAGTTAACCTTAAATACTAGGTTTTAGGGGTTAGTCAATAAAGTGGGCGGCTAACATGCCGCCGCCGCCAATAGAAAAGCCTTTGCCCTTCGCCTCCGGCTAGGGTCCCTCTCCTTCTTCCCCTCCGGTGCGTCTGCCGATGGTAGGAAGGAGAGGGATCCATCTCGCTTTTCCACAATTCTATATCCAGATTGCTTAGGGTTTAGTCCAAATAAACGGCGAAATCAAATGATTTTTGCTCGAGGTCTTGTAGCCTACGATGACTTCGGTGATTGCCACGACAAGATCACCACTGCAGGCATCGATTTCATCGGCAGACGGCCAATTTGTGGCCATTATCTGCAAGGGGAGGGGGTGCTCCTAGGCATTTCCAACGAGGACAGTTACTCCGGCTCATCGATCTCATCGTCGATGCCTGTGGAGAGGAAATCAAGGATTTGAGGTAAAGAATCTGCATCCTATGTTGTACCCAATGATGCAACTGTCGATGTTCTTTTATCGATTCAGATATGTTTTGAACTGGTTCCTAACGTTGGATCTTACGGCAATGGCGAGGTGAGGAGAAAATACAAAAAGGAGGGGGATACCATCCCTTTATGCAAAAAAAAAAAAAAACATTAGGGTACTTCCTCCAATCACAAATAATTGACATTTTGATGTTAACACAATCTTCAAATCACAACCTTGGCAAACACTTTTTTGTTATAAAAACATGCTCAATACTCTTATAGAACTACATTAAAAATATTCATATAATTTCAAATATCCAATGCAAGCTCAATACACAAAAGGCAATTGCAACTTTGGTAACCAAAATCCCAAAGGCTGACACCAGAGTCGAGTCGCTTCTCTGACTGAGCCCTGCAATGGGGAGGGGAGCTTCAACCCCTCTCGCCCATGCTAGATCCAGTTATTTGTCTGTGTTAGTATGTGTGTGTGGCACCAAAAGTTGATGCATAGGTGGACAATCAATTATAGCCCAAACGGGTAGCAATGAGGTTGGTACACCAGGCCAGAACCACATACGTATAGAGCTGGTGACTATTTCATTCTGCTTCGCTCTGATAGCAAGTTCATTTTCTCTAGATTGATGTCTCCTTCACCCAAACTGAGTTCCTCATCATCAGATTGACCTCTTCCCCACTTGAATACACTACATACACTAGGCAACTTAGCTTACCCATTTATGTTCTTAGTAGTGATTGTGAGCTATAGTATAGTGTATGGAATGCACCAGTGGCGAATCTAGGATTTTAGATCAGGGTATGCCGTCAAGAAAATTTCATATATAAATCGGTAAAATCATTTGACAATTCGGTAATAATTATGAAATTTGCAATGTAATTCGGTATATATATACTAAATAACACGATAAGTTTTTTATTTGAAGATTAAGTTGAAAAACATCCACAACATTACAATATGAATAGTTCAGGCATCATAATGATAGCTCCAAATATATGCATAAAAGAGAGTAAGAGACTTATAATACTACTTATCTGATTTTCAAATATATGCATAAAGAGAGTAAGAGACTTATAATACTACTTATCTGATTTTTTTAGCCGATGCTTTCTATGGGACATGAATGTGTTGATGATATCACCTTCTTCCAGCCAATTATTAAAAAGGGATGCAATATCTCCATCTCTCTTGATAACTACACAATTATTAAAAACACAATACCAAACAATTAAACAAATTGCAAGTGCATGGATTGAATCCTCAATCCTCATATGTGATGACACAAACATTCACATGATACTAAATTGTTGATCAATTTCGGTTGTCTCTGATGTTGAGCAAATCTCCGACCTCACTGCGTATTATTGATGATTGGATAATATTAGCCATGGATATAAACATGATCTTTCTATAGAAAGACGAATAGTAAAAAAAGAGATTGATTCTCACCGCGGTGGCTCGGTGATCGGACTATATATGCATCGTTAATGGTACGCAGCGCATCGAGCCGATCCTCCATGTCACGTGCTTTCGGCGATCGGCGCGCGAAGATTCAAGCCTCGAGAAGGCGGCCACGGTGAGAGACTCTAATCTCGATAGTAGTAGATCAATAGGAAGTCCGGGCGTTGGCGGTCGAGAACTACGCGCGTTCTAAGGATCGGACCTTGACTTTCCGAATTTTACTTTGGTGTCCTTATGGCGCGTGGGCAAGACTGGGCTTCCGTCCGTATGGCGCGTGGGCACAGAAACCGGAAAGTCCATCATCTCTCGGCAAGGAGCAGCTGCTGCGTTCGTTTTCCATGGTGCAGATATGGTCTTTTTTGTTTTTTACAAATCTGAGGCGTATATACATGAAAGCTATTCTTTGGATCTCGGGGTATGCCGATTGCATACACAGCATACCCTGTAGCTCCGCCCCTGGAATGCACGACGCCTATGAACCTAGACTTAACCACTGTAAAAAAGTTATACGTCATGGATTAGACTAATAGATATGTTTGAGAAACATTAGCATCGCATTTTGTGTTGGGGCTTGACAAAGAGTGGGGAATTGAAGGGGATCAGAGAGCCCCCTCTTCTTTTCCTCTCCATCCTCACTCTCGCTTGAGATGCAGTGGGAAAAGCCCCCCTCTTCCCATGCTGGATCCACCCTTGTCTACATATGTCAGTGTGCATGTGTGGCACCGAAAATCGATATATAGATAGATAGAGAGATGGGGGGGGGCAAACAATTTGACCTCGGCCATAAGCTCTGTTCGCTTCGCTGGAAAAACAAACACAAACACTATTCTGGCTAAAAAAACAAGGTGTAAAATACGCGGGAGGGGGGGGGGCAAACAATCTGAACCCGGCCATAAGCCCCGTTCGCTTCGCTGGAAAAACAAACCCAAACACTGTTCTGACTAAAAAAACAAGGTGTAAAATATGGATTATAAAATAAAGGAACAGGCCCAATATGGTAGAACGAGGTTGGTGCACTAGCACCACTACATATAAGAGCCACGTACTATATTCGATATACAGACGCAGCTTGTTGACGGCGACACCTATTCTCTAATTGAGGGAGTTTGCTTTTGGTGGCGTGGATTTTTGGATCGTGCGGTTTATTTGTACGGTCTAGTCCTTTTGTGCCGATGATCTAGAAACAATAAAAGATGACATAATTAACCTCTTGGGTCAAAAGTATCTTTTGACAAAGCGATCAAAAATACTTGAAACTGGTGGCAACTTTTTCACAAATAAAATTTTCTTGGGATATGATGTACGTATATACAGTCGGGACACGACAGGGAATGCAACATCCGGCCGCATCTATCTCATCTTTGTCAGCACTCACTCGATCACTTTTACCTTGATGATCACCCACCCAGCCAGTGGCAAACTTGCTTTTAATTTGCAAGACATAAACAAACTCAGAAAATATCTCTCTCTCTTCCACCCCGAGCAGCATCTCCTCCTCCTCCCTCCGCTTCGCCAAACCCTAGTAGTACTAGATCAGAAGACAATGGCGCCGCAGCCACCGCTTCCTCCGCCAGCGGCGACGGCGACAGCATCGTCGATCAGGACGTCTGGCTCGCCTGCGCCGTCCCGCTCTCCCGCCTCCCCACCGTCGGCGCCGAGGTCTACTACTTCCCGCACGGCCACGCCGAGCAGTGCTCCGCGCACCTCCCGGCGCCGCTCCCCGCGCCGCACCTCTTCCCCTGCACCGTCACCCACGTCACCCTAGGCGCGGACGACAAGACCAACGAGGTGTTCGCCAAAATCTCCCTCAGCCCAGGCCCCCACCGCGGCGGGCCTTCTCGTCCCGACCCCACCAGCGACAGCAGCCCGCCGCAGGAGATCATGCTCAGCTACTTCACCAAGGAGCTCACGCAGAGCGACGCCAACAACGGCGGCGGCTTCTCCGTCCCGCGCTACTGCGCCGACCACATCTTCCCCACGCTCGACTTCGACGCCGACCCGCCCGTGCAGAGCCTCGTCATGCGCGCGACACCAGGGGCAACCCCTGGCAGTTCCGCCACATCTACCGCGGCACGCCGCGCCGACACCTGCTCACCACCGGATGGAGCAGGTTCGTCAACGCCAAGCTGCTCGTCGCGGGGGACATTGTCGTCTTCATGCGCCGCGCCAACGGCGACCTCATCGTCGGCCTGCGCCGCACGCCAAGGTACCCGCTCGTCTTCCCAGGGGCCGCCGACCCGGACCATCAGCCCCAGGCCCCGCCCCGCAACGCGCGCGCGCGGGTGCCGCCCCAGGACGTCATGGAGGCCGCGCGCCTCGCCGCCGAGGGCATGCCCTTCACCGTCACCTACTTCCCGAGGCAGGCCGCGGGGGAGTTCGTCGTCCCGCGCAGCGAGGTGGAGAAAGCGCTCGCCACCCGCTGGGAGCCAGGCACGCAGGTGCGCATGCAGGTCATGGAGGCCGAGGACACGCGCCGCACCGTGTGGGCCGACGGCCACGTCAAGGCGCTCCACCAAAACATCTGGCGAGCGCTCGAGGTCTGAATTCTCGTCTCGTCTCTCTCGTCTTCCTACCATAGTTCCAAATTCCAATTGCCATCGACCAACCTGATCACCTGCGTGTGTTGTGTTCACCGGAATCACCGAGCGCCTACTGCCATTATGCTAATGATCCGATTCACCTTCCCCCACCTTTATTGTTGTTGGTACGCTTCCCTTAATCAATTACTAATAAGTGTTATTAGGTAGTACAAAGCTATCATTAGAACAATCTTGACCTGTAGTAGCTTTCAAGCCAGTCGCTCGTGCTAGACAGATTTTGTTGCTTTCGATCAGTGTCGTAGAGTCGTATTTTTGTATTGCGATTGGGATTCCGATTGCGTTGTGGGGCTGCCGGTGGTTCTTCTGTCGGATTGGATACCTTCACATGTCTGTTTCTGTTTCTGTTTCTGTTTCCACTCTGCAGTCAGTAGCAGTAGCCTGTAGGGCTGGCTGCTTCATTTCATTCAGCTTGTCCATACTAGTATCTTCCTGCTACTACTGCCAAGTACTCGTACTCTAGTCAATTGCATACTACTCCTAGTACTGTGTATTCATCCAAATCTTGTCGTGACTCGTGATGCCTGTCAGCCTGTGCCACTTCGGCTTCGTACCGGACTTCTCATTTCTGAATGCATGCACCCGGTCTCCATTCCCTGTTTAATTTAATTTGTTTTCGTACAAGAAACCATGCCAGTTTTTTACGTGTGCACTGCACATAGGTCTGTAATGTACTCGGTCCCTGAAAACTTTATTAGAAAGAAAAAAACTCGGTCCCTGCCAGGGAAGTCACCAAAGAATTTGATTCTTCCTTATCATCACGTGGATTCCCAGCCCAATCGGCTTTAGCTTGTTCCTATGTTTGTGCTGTTGCTTCCATCTGTGTGTTGAAAATGTCAGGGCTAAATATGTTTATATTATACTGTTTTCGTATTTCTTTTTTTTCGAGCTATAACTGATTTGGTATATCTTTTGTCGTGTGGGTTCAGTTCACCCTCTTGTATTACAGCCTGATTATTTTTGAACTGAATATATTATTGTCTTATTATTAGTAGGGAAAGATATATTATTTCCTTGTCAGTCAGAGCTAAGGGATCGGTGTTGTTTCTTTACCATTATTATTGCCGCGTGCCTACTTGATCCCGACTTATGTCATTACCACTTGACACAACTGCAGATCGACTGGGATGACTCCTCTCCATTATCACTAAAATTGAGCAGATTTGTGAATGCTTGGCAAGTCCAGCTTGTTGCATACCCTCCTCTTCCAAATAGAGTGAGGATTTGCGACCCAATTGCACCTCTTTGCCCTGGAGATGTCTCTTATCCACTGATCGGATCGGAAAGCCAGGCAATGGCTATGATATTGGGGCCACCAATTCCTGCTTGCATGCAGGGAGCCAGGCACACCGGCCCTTGTGCTGCACCCTCTGAATCTTCTGCAATGCTCACGACTCAGTTGCTATTCCCCCTAACCAACAGGGACTTCCAGATGCCACCGCGTACAAGCCCCAGTGCTTCCTCTGAGATTCTGGATCCTGAAGCTGCTTCTCCTCCCAACAACTCAGTAAGCATGCGTCCAGAGCTTCCAGTCCAAGTGAAGAGCATACAGCTCTTCGGCGCCACGATCACGCCCCATGTTGTGCAGAGTGAAGAAGTGATTGGAGCTCCTTATGGCGATGCTATGGCTGATGACAGTGTTGAAAAAGATGTCTAAACCATGCAGCTGTACTTGAAGGTATGGTGTGATCTTCTCAACATCCCCTTGTGGTTGTTGCAATGAAAAATGCAGAAAGTTTAATTTAGGTCAGGATACAAAGTGTATTTGGGGGAGGGGGGGTTCATCAGATGCTCGTACATACAGAACCTTATATGTTTTGATGGATCAACCAAATTAAGATTTGTGTCATTATCATGGGCTCCTGTCACCACGGGCAGAGCCTCATAGAGGTGATCCCCTTTGTTTCAATGATATGAATAGAATGTTCATGGCTGCTATATGTTGCTTCAAGTCTTATGGTTTGCAAATCTAGATAAAGTTCAAAGAAGAACATATAGTGTATATGGAAGCATAGGAAATCTAAATAGTGATTTTTGCAAAGACATAAGAAGCTGCAGAAGCAAATTGTTGTAATGAAGAAAAAAAAAGGAGCACAATCTATCTAATATTGACACTGAAACATTTTCACCCCCCCTCTCCACGCTTCACCACCGCCTGTCACTGATGTGTGCTTGCAATGCTTTTGTTTGCAGATGCCTGGATAAGACTGGGAGTATCACTACCTCTACATCTGGGTTTCTACTGCCAAAATACCAAGTGTCTGTCTCTCTGGTGCATGCAGAGTTTATCTGTAGCTAGCTTTAGTAGTCTGTGGCAGTATTACTATTGCAACCCCGGCGCCTTATTAGTTGTGGTTAGCTAGAGTGAAGGGGTAGCACGCATGGCTGTAGTTTAGTTGAACATCACCGCGCATTTTATCGCTGTCACATGCATTTAGATTTTTTTTCCCGATCCGTTTGGCCTGGCCTAGTTTTAACAGACCACTATATAATGTTGGTTGGTTGATTCAATTCTGGGAGTTGGTCATATCGCTCTCGTCTGCTCTGCTGTATTCCATTGCTAGCAATTTGCAATTACATCGTCTGGAACTATATGTGGGTTTAATTTGGTAACAATATGGATCATTGCTCCTTCCCCCTAATCGTGTGGCATTAATTGTTTGTTGGGTCTGGATCAGCTCATGTGAAGTCATGTGCAAGGGCAAGGGGCAGTCTGCTGTGAATAATAATTCTTGAGTTGCGTTGCATGCATCACACACTTATCAAAGCCCTGCCCTGCCGAATGTTTTCCCAGTGCATGCATGCATCTCTCTCTCTCTCTGGAGTCTGGAGAAAAGGCAGTCAAGATGCAACGCATGGTCTTTTTCTTTTATATTTTTATTAGTTTCCCTTGTTGAAAAGGGGCATGCACTGCACCATATACATACATGCGTCTTCTTTCTGACTTAAACACAAAGCAGAGTGTTGCTGCTGCACAGTGTGGGTGTGATCCAATCCCTCTCATTTCTGATGGGGCGGGCGAAAAGGTCGTTGCGACATGTTATCCATCTCGGACCGTCTGTCTGCCCATATCCATCCTTGTCGGTAGATTACTTGTTGCCGATTCAATCACATTCAAAGGCAGCTCAGCTGACAAGCAAATCTTGCATTAGCTAGCTGCAATGCAATATAATTAGGCAAACAGACATCCAATCCGACGAGCACTGCCCAGTGTGTCCACGCCAACAGGCAACAGCTAGCTGCTAGCCCAGGCAGGCAGGCAGCTGTGCATGATTAAGCTCCATCCACCACCAGACCATTTAAGGCCCCGTTCGCTTTTGAAAAAAAGCAAGTCGAAGCAACTGTTTGGTGATTTGTTAATGAGAGAAAAATCTTTGTTTCAACTAAAAAAAAATTTAAAAAGTACGGATTATAAGAGAAAGCGTACATGACCTTACAGTTTTACATGTAATGCCAAATTCATTTCACACAGCCAGAGTCAGGCCGGCATTACAAGTAGTAGAGTAGTATTGTTTTTTTTTGTCACCATCAAAACCCACACAGTACATGGCTGGATTAATAAAATAATCATCAGATATACTGAGATGATCACTCCTGATCAGCATCAAGCGCAATCCTCATTCTCTCTTGTTTTCTTGTTTTTGATTTGAGTATCTCTCTTTCTAATATAATATAATATAATATAATATAATTCTTGCATGATGATCATTGGATATATGTGTGGTCACCGCTATTACGTACATAATACTGTATGCACAAACAGACCAAGTAGGTAAAAATTAGGCACTCACTCACTTTGTACAATCAAGCAATTGCAAAGCAAGCCGTACGTACGTCAGTAGTAGCTGCAAGCAAGCTTGCATTGGTCGGACTCGGACGTCAAAGACGGGAGATCCATCCATCGGACACCATGGCCCGCCGGCGCCGACCGTCCGGACCTGACGACCTACCACGCCCGGTCGCCGTGCGCGCGCCTCCGAGTGAGGCTCCGGATCCAGCCCCTCCCTCGCGTCTTGGACCGCTCCGCCGCCGCCGCGGCCTTCTTGCCGTCCAGCCCGGCGACGTGGCACGCCGCTCCGCCGCCCGCCTTGGCCGCCGCGGACGACCTCCTCCATCGCGCCAGCTGCAGCAGGCGCCCCACCACCTGCTTGCGCCACCGGGTGACGCCGCCCCGCTTCACGTGCTCCACCGCCACCACCACGGTCGACGACGACGACGACCTCGTCGCGGGAGCCGCCGCCGGCTTGCCTGCCTCCGCCTCGGCCTCCGTCACCGCCGCCGACGCCTTGTGCTGGCTCTGGCTGTCCCACGTCGCCTTGCCGTTGTCCTCGAACTTGATGGAGATGAAGGAATCTTTTTTTTTTTTTGGTTTCGTTTTTGCACATTCCCATTGAATGATTTATTTGCCAAACGAACAAGAAACAAGCAAAGAAATTGATCGGATTATGACACGGTCGACGATGATGAATGAAAGTCAAAGCATCAATGCAAGCAAGCAGAGTGCGGCGGGCAGCGGCGGTGCCACCTCTAATTAATTAGTATAATGGCACGTACTACTCCAGTATTAATTGAATTAATGCAAGATAGGTGTTGTATGTATGTATGTACCATCGAGGCTTGCGACGGAGGTGGTGGCGTCGTCGTCGTCGTCGGAGTAGCAGTTGTTGTCGGGGTCCCGCCCCCGGTGGTGGCGGGAGTCGAGGCGCTGGAGGAAGGTGGAGCCGAGCGCGAAGACCTTGGGGAGGGAGATGCTCCTGCTCCTGCTCCTGCTCCGGCGGTGCACGGCGTCGGCGGCGGCGTTGCTGTTATTGTTGTTGGCAGCGGCGAGGAGGAGGAGGAGGCGGTCCTTGAGGCAGTGGGCGCAGACGCCGACGACCACCTCCCTGGGATGGAAGCAGCAGTAGGGGACGTCGCCCTGCCCATGCCCATACCCGTACGCCTGCTGCTGCTGCTGCTTGTTCATGCCTGGCCGGGATTGCCTTCCCTTCGCTACTTGTTGCACTGCTAGCTCTAGGCGATCTGCTACTACTTTAAATTTGCAATGGACGTGGATGGTACACACACTGAGTGACTGGAGTGGATTACAGAAAGAAAGGAAAGCCTCACTCCTCCAGTCCTCCTCAATCAGAGAGAGAGAAAGAGAGGGAGACAGAGGGACGGACGGACGGGAGATCTGCGCAAGCAAGGAGAAGGACTCTTCGGTTGGCCGCCCCTCCCTTGGTGGGGAGGGGATGGAGAGGGACGGTGGCCTGCCTGCCTGCCCAGCTCTGCTCTGCTCTGCTACCTCCGCTGTCCCCTCTCTGAAGTCTGAATGAATCTCTGAGGGCTTGTTTGTTTGCCTGGTCTAGCCGGGCACAGCACCCGTGGACTGCAACCAAGGATGTTTGTTTGCCTGGACCTCCTTTCCAGCCTGGCCCGCACGGCCATTAAAGCAGGAGTCTTTTACACATGTGTTATTAAAAATGTTTGTAATTATACATAAGCTATTAAAAAAATTGACCGCACACAGGTGTCACTGTTGTAAACTTCTTTGTCTTACAAGCCATTCCGTCCTTGTTCTGTTTATTTTTCGCCGTTTGGTGTGGGACCAGCCAGTGAAATTGTTCATATTAGCCTTTGCGGTGGAAACCGACTATGATTCACCACCTCAGTTTTCTTTCTCTCTGTGTTCCTCCTTGTCTTCTTCCCCTTCTTGGCGTCGTCGGCCTGCCTGCCGGTGCTGACCCCTCGCCCCGGCACCTCCTGGCCTCGGCCCCACCCTTCGCCCCCGGCGCCTCCCGGCACCAACCCCGCCCTGTGACCCCGAAGGCCTAGCCCCACGCTCCCAGCCCCAGCACCGCCCTACACCCTCGGCGGCGGCGGCTCGGCCCCGCGCCCTCGGCGGCCTTGCCGCTCAGAGCCCGCGTCGGCGCCGCGCCCGCCAGCGCCGGCCCTGCTCCCGGCGACCGACCAGCGACTTCGGCCCGGCGACCTCCAGGATCATAGCCGCCGTCGTCCGTCGTCGCGAGACCCGGTAACCTCCTTTGCTCGTCGTGTGGAGAGGGCCGAAATTGCGCCAGCGCCACGTCACCGAATCCGGCGGCGCTTGGCTACTCCTCACCCTTTGGATCCGTCGGCGTCCGCGGGCGGAAGCTCCTAATCGTCCTCGTTAACGCCCGTCACCATCAACGCGCCCAAGCTCGTAGCCCCCCACCGCACCCGCCGCCGCCGTCTCCTTCACGAATCTGCGCTGCGCTCCTCTCAACAACCTTGTGCCGTTGCCATCCGCCGTAGCCATACCCGCGCGCGGCCGCTAGCTCCAGGGCGCCGTCGTCGTCTCAGTCCCCTAGCCTCGTCGCGCGCTTTCGACACGGCCTTGCGGCGCCCAAGATCTTTGGATGCACCATCGGTGGGATAGGAAGAAGTGGACACCGCCGGGAAAAACAAGAGAGGTGCCACAGTAGCCTCGGCGCCGTCACCGTGGAGAGAGCGGCAAGGTGCCGCCGTTCCTCGTCGGCGAATCGTGCGCGCGTGCTCGGGGAGGGTAGCCATGGCGCTCGATGTGACGAGGCGCGATCCGGCCTTGAGGCGGCGGAGTGGCTCGAGGAGGCCGTCCGCGTCGCCTCAAGGGCCGTCGTGTCTTGCGCCGGGAGAGGGAGGAGGCCGTCTTGCCGAGAAAGCAAGGAGGTGCCCAGTGACCTCATTGCCAGATCAACGCCGGCACTCCTAGTCATGCACCTTGCAGTTGTCGTCGTGAGCGAGCCGTCCCATGCACTCTCTCCCCGGGGTTCTTCTTTGTTTGGTGTGGGACCGCCAAGAGTAATATGGACAATTTCAGCGGCGGTCCCACACCAAGCAATGAAAACAAATGAGCAAGCAGCGGAATGGCTTGTAAGGCAAAAAGTTTAGAAGCGTAGCTTTTGTGTGCGGTCAATTTTTTTAAATAGCTTATATATAATTACAAAATTTTTTAATGGCACACTGTAAAAAGCCTCCTAAAGCGAGCCTCGGCCCGGACCCAGAGGCGTTCCTCACGAGCTCGGCTCGAGCAGCGCGGTGTGTCTGAATGCCTTCCTTCCGTCACCTCCTTCTCATTACCTCCTTCCTGTGGGTGATGGCCCGACCACCCGCATGAGAAGGTGACTCATCGGCGGCGACCATGGAGCGGCGGTGGCGGTGTTCGGCGCCCGAGAGCCGCAAAGCTGTAGAAGGCGGCCTGGCCCTGGCCGATGATGACTGAGAGGCCTCTCGGCCACCACGCGAGCAGAGATCTGGCGGCGGCGGCGGCGTGCTCCACGACAGCGGATGGCGGTGCCTGTCTCGGTTATGGCTCGGCGAAGGTGGAGGTGGGTTTGGTGGGGCACCCTTCTTCCTCACCACGCAAACCATGGCGGCCTCACGCGCGCTCCCCGGCCAGCGGCGAGACACGAGCCTCGCTAGAACGCGCTTGAGCTCCGCCTTAGGCACTGCCATGCCCGTGCCGTCCTCGCTCCTGCCTTCGCTTGGCCTAGCTTGTATGAGCTCCAGCGTCCGGTCTTGATCTGTCGCTTCTTGCCCGTGCAAGCAGGTCTTGGTTGCGAGAGAAGGTGGCCGGGCGGCAACGGCCGTCTTTGTCTGAGGAGTTCACAGACGTGGAATGCACCTACACATGTCCCGGTAGAGCTCCTCATTTGTCTTTGGGCTCGCCCTCCATCAAGCGTGAGGAGGAGGAGCACGGGGGCATCTGATGGCAGCACAAGGAGCGAGGAAGAAGAAGAGGTGGCACCAGGCAAGGTGCTCGATGAAATGCCTATGAGGTGAGGAAGAAGAAGATGAGGCGGTAAAGATACGATTCCTTATCGGGTAACCATATACATTGAGCCGAGCAAACAAACATCGGCTCGCCCTCGGCCCGACCCCTCTCGCATCGAGCAAACAAACAAGCCCGATTGCACCTCTTGGGGCTGCCTCCCTCGGCCTAGGCCGGTACGATACGTGCCTCCCTCGGCCAGGCGTGTTTGCGACCCTATACACAGCCAGCTGGCCATAAGCTAACCTAGGCCTGGCGAGCTTGCCCCAAGTGGTGCAACAGCTCTTGTTTGCGCTTTGTGTACCCGATGAGCCCGGCTCGAGGCGGTACATGTTTGACATCGAAGGCGGCCCGAGAGGCTAACCGCCACCAACTACCACACCGAGATAGTGTTTGTCGTTTGGGCGTGGTCGGCCGGGCCCATAACAACAAATAGAAATGGACATGAATGAAAGGAGAATGAGGTTGCTCTTCCATAACCGTTACAACAACAAATCAAAGTTTCAGCATGAAATAGTTGGCCTCAGACATGCTAATTTAACAATTCATGGCATTCTTGACTACATGGGATAATCAAAAGTCGATGAAAGAAGAAACGAAGCATGGGTCGATCAAGTTTTGAAGCCAACAAACAAAAAAGTTCACGAAAGCAGATAAGAGCGACAAAATGATATGTAGCCAGCTAATGCATCGATCCATTGTGTCATCATTGGCCAAAATACAACATTTAACAATTTGGCAAGCCGAGAAGGGCAATAAGTTAACAGAAAGCATGTAGCCAGCTAATGCAGTCATCATATTGTGTCATCATCGGCCTAATTAAAACAACGGTTGTGGCACATGAAACGACTTGAGTGATGAGACCAACTACAACCATAAACAAGATCAAGATGACAACATTTTTGCAACAGCCTTACAGCCCGGTGAATGATGATAGATTTGAACCTTGACTGTCACCGATTCATGGGATCTTGATGCATCCCCATGAGGGCATGAATTAGTAACAACAAGGGTTCTTGAGGTACCCTTGCATTAAAATCTCTAAGAGCATCATCATAGTTGTTGTACTTACGATAGATAGCCCTTCTTCCCTAAGCACTTGCTTAGCACTCATACCATGTAAAATAAATCCCAGGTTTCTTCCTTCAAAGACCACATAGCGGGGAGGCATTCTACGAAACCAACCAAATGTAGAACATGTAAGTGAGTGCAATGACATACCTCGATCGACCATTCAGTTTGAATGATGATGAACATCATCGGCAACTTGATAAAAAATTAGCCTCATTTGTTATTTTCCTTGTTTAGTCATTGGTGGCTACCAAGAATTGTAAGAACCAAATAAAGAGGCAAATAAACAACAGTTTGCACTCACGCCCATCGACCATCACAAGAGGATGTTGTTCTTTGTGGAGTACAATGAGCATAAGTGTAGAATGGAAGGATAGGCAAATAAAGAAGAAAGCACAACAACAAAACCATCAAAACAAGAATAAGGTAGCCACCTCAAGTTTGTTTTATGCATCATAGGCCTTTAAATCCCAGAGTTACCACGGAGGCATAAACAACAAAAATAGGCAACTAGTTATCAAATAAAAAGTAGCCATAGCAGAGGCTACAAATAAGTTTCTTACAATACCAAGTTGAGCCCAACACCAAGGGCTCAAATATTCACAAATCCTTGCCTATTGTTAGCCACCCTCCTAGACAAACTACTTTGTGGGACACGTGGGCGCCCTAAGAGGGGGGTGAATTAGGTGTCATAAAAATCTAACTCTAAACTATGGCCTCTTTTTCTTACCCTAGCAAAACCTATGTAATAGACAAGCTATCTAGATGTGCAACTATGGTTTTGCTAGTGTGTTGCTATCTCTCTACATAAGCGTAGTAAAGTAATCAATGTAAATCACGGAAGCTAAAGAGCAAGGTAGAGATATGCAAACTCCGTCGACGACTCCGGTATTTTTTACCGAGGTATCGAGAAGCACGCAAGCTTCCCCTAGTCCTCGTTGGAGCCCCTCATGAGAATCCCTCGCAAGGGCCAAGCTCCCGGTCGGGTAACTCCGTGGATAGCCTCGGGGTCTTCCCCGCAGCAAGTGGGTCTCCGATGTGCCTCTCGGCAAGCCTCTCCCGGATGCTCCCGCCGTCTTCACTATCAAGCTTCCGGCCAAAGCGCGCGGGCCTTGTTCCCTCCG